CATGTATATGCTGAGATACGAAAAACATCTCTCGCTTTATAAGTTCATTTGAGCTATAATTGATCAACCCAGCTGCATTATTTTTTATTACTCTTTTTTATTTTTAAATTTCAATCTATATTTTTTTCAAGTATCGGACAATTGACCAAAAATATCTTTACAAGCTAGAAAACATGTATTACTTGTGTATAATAACGTTACATGTATATACGTGTAAATGAATTTGCATAATTTTCAGACATAATCTTTTAATGTAGTTTTTTTAATTTCTTTTTTTTAAAACGTTCGTATTAAATTTTTGAATGACAAAGAGATGAAAAATTACTTGATAAAAATTCAATTATAAATGTAACACAAATACAATGTATCTATTATTTTCCAGGAGAAATGTTCCTTATTTCGGTAAGCATGAAATTGCACCAGGTTTATATCATAATTGTTCTATACACTGTATACTTGTATTAGTTTAGAGCGTTTTAAAGTATTCACACAATTTTATACATTATGATTTTAAGCTATTCACATCAATTTTACAAATAGTAATGTTAATCAAGAAATAGTAAATGAAACATAAATATCTCTAAAAAGAGCGACACTAAATACTATCGATTATGCGTAGCCATCATGGTTTTAACTTCGTTTCTTTTGAGAAATGATGTAGCCATTGTTTGCTTGTTCAGTCTGGTCTCTGAAGATAGGAGAAATTTGTCAGACTTAAAACTGTGATTGCCACCCCTTCTACAGATGATTAGACGCATCATTGCTAATAAGTATCGATCTTCAACTTCCACACAGGAAGTAAATTGTAAATAAATAGAGTGATCCTATCAGAATATAAAATAATTGTTCTAATAAAATCGCTACAAGTATCGTCATTTCAAAGATGGATAAAACATTAATTTTAAATTCATCTGAACTTTCTCTCCCGCGCTGCGCAGTGGTTAGAGGGTCTACTCTAGAGTCGCGAAGTGAGGAGTTGATCCTCACCTCGTGGGTTCGAATCACACTATGAGACGTGGAAACCGGTCCTTCGGATGAGACCGTATAAACTGAGGTCCTGTGTCGCAGTAGGTACGGAAAGAGATCCCTCCCTGCTCAATGGCCTGAGTATCGAGTATAGGACAAAATTTGCAGCCCTCCACCGGCAAGTTGTTACATCTCCATATATGAGTGAAAAATTCTCGAGAGGAACATTAAACAACATACAATCAATCAATCATCTGAACTTTCCAAGAAACTTGCACATTACTTGTTTATTGCTAAAGGTTGTCACAAATTATCGTAAATGCTCTTGATCAAACCAACTTTTCTTCTAATTGAGAAACGTAAGTTTGTTTAATGCCCCTTCGAGAATTGTTCACTAATATTGAAAAAAAGCCTCTTGCCACGGTGGAGGGCTGCAAATTTAAGCTTTACTCGACATTAACGACCTTCGAGCAGAAAGGACTGGTTTCTACGACCCACAATTGGATTTCTGTGGTCCTTCGCATGACAGGGTGCAAATATATATCAATCAAATGAAACTCAAAATTTATTCAAATGAACAATTATAGATATCTGAAACATTTTTACTAGCGTCATTATTAATCATATCATATGCATGTTATCTATGTCCTCCTATTCACTTTGAGATGACATAAACAATAATTTATCCATGGCATCTGTCTTTTTAACTATGCTGAAAATTTGAAGTCCATTTCCGTGAAGTGCAGAATTACACAACATCAGAGAGACCCTTTGGCTCTCACTGTTTAACTGTAATGCACTTTATTCAAATCGTTCTGAAAACATTGAAAAAAAGAAACCCGAGATGTTCTTTGAACTTGAGGCCCGTATCTGAAGTGTAAACAGAGAGATGCCTCTACGTAAAATGATCTTGACTTTGGACATAATTATCATCTAATAAGGTTTTAAGTTCTTAATACCAATTCACCGGAATCGTCTTCTATCAGATTTACAGTTTCTGCTTCAGGAGCCGTAACTCAAGAGCGATTCTTTGTTTGATCCAAGATCCAATAGAAGATATTATTTTCTCAAAGACGCATTTGCGCAAGCGTTATCAGCAATGATGATGATGGAGAATGCATTGATTAACAGTACGATTTCCTGGCTTTAGGAAATAATTAGTTCAGCAACATGTAAATATCAAAAAATAATATCCAAGTTTGGTGCTGTAACGCAATGAATGCATTCTGCGTCGTCTGTGTCTAGGGTGATGAATGTTTTAGCATTACGATCTTTTTTGTCTGTTGTTACAGCTTTTCACCGAATGCACATAGATTTGATTCAATTTTATTCACTGCGTTAAGTTAAATGTTTTTTCCATCTTATGATTAAACTGATTTTTCAGATTTCAGACCTGTTTACCCACATCGTTGTCTCTCAGTATTTTTGATTAAATTTTTCCGTGAGATTTGGCATTTGCCAGTAAGTTGGCACTTTTCATCGATTTTACATTTATTAGAGAACAACTGCTTTTTTGATTACAAAAACTTGGTTTAACTACATGGTCTTTGTCATGTTATAATATAATACCAGAGCTTTTTGGGGAACCCGACATCACTCAAGTGTTTTAAATCTTTCTCTTTTTTAGCGATTAAAAAGCGTGAAACTAAGACAGATCATAACGAAAACTAACTGCTAAATTCTAAACGAACCTATTTCAGATTTCCATATTTTTATAATAGCAAAACGTGAGACGTATTTTGAACTAAAAATCCATTAAAAAAATACGGCGAAATCGTAAGAGTAAACAGGTCTGAGATTTTAACACACCAGTAGCATTTTTTCTAATCAATTTCATTGTTTAATACACTATTAATGTAAAATTCATTAACCTTAAGTAGGATACCATTTTAAAGACATTTTCTAGGGGTTGTGCAGTTACAGAGACAATTCACCAAATTATGCATAAAGAATGTACAATTTCTACTAACAATATATCGCATATAAGTATTTAATATGAATTTTAATTATTTTTACTTAATATTATGGAACCGTGTTAATAACTTTGTTTGCAGTTAAATATATTCAATTAAAATCGCATACATTATCCAGCAAGATTAAAATTATAGGCAGATTCATATGGACCGGAAAGCATTGGTTGTGAAGTTGATTTTCAACCCACCTCAGTTATTTTCTTAGTGACAACGTTAAAAGTTTCACTCAAAAGTCAATTAATTTCGATTTCCGATTAGTACAACTTAGTAATTAATTAAAACAAATTTCAGAGCGTTATAACAAATAATATAAACGTAGTAATAAGTTATAATAACAAATTTCTGATGTTATAACAAATTAATAATAGTAACGTTTGCAGCCGTTATCCACATCCGTAGACGGACTCTTGGAAAAACTGACCATGAAACGTTATTTGATACGATGGACTAGTTAATGTCAGATTATGACTTCTTGTTATAAAGGGGCAGAATAATTATTTTTCAGGGAAAAATTATTTCAAAAATCTACCCAAACGTAAAACTTTCCGTTTAAAAATTCTGTCGCTTTTTCAGTCGTAATAAATTCATTAAATACCACTATCAAACAATGTGCGCGTTCGTTAGATTGAAATTATAGGTTTTGAAATTAATTTTATTCCACTTTGTCTCTAGCTCTTTCCAGCAGCATTTATCAAATTAATTGTTTACAAGTGAAACTATCAAAATGATATCTCTTTAATTGATCATTAAAGACCATCTTGCAAGAAAATTGATTGATGTATGTCTAGACGACCGAAAGTTTGAAGAAATCCAGTCAGTAAATTGCGCTGCAATGCGATGAGTTTTGAATGAAACCTTTGGAATATCGCTAAGACTAATTCTTGCATATATTCGGTTTTCTGTTATTCCTTTACGATATATTTTATTAATTTTTGACGGGTATAGGTCCCTTTCATGTACAATGCCTTTTTATAACACATCTTAATAGCTAATTTTTTCGACTTTGTTACTGTTGAAAAAAGTACATTTTGCTTTCGATTTAGTTATGTTACAATCCTTATGATTCAAAAAATTCACAAAATATACAAGAATTTTAATTGATTTTACTGCCAAAATAATTATATTGTTGACAAAATTTAAGGTATTGAAAGTTAAAGAGTTAAAGCCACGAAGTGCCGAAATCGGCCCCGTGATTATGAGTAAAATAAAGTTTCCCATATTGGAAAATTAATTATATCATGAAAAAGCTTTGACTTTATTTCTTAAAGGGTATTATTGAACACTTAAGAACAACATTTGAAATCTTTAATTAAAACAGCAATTATAAAGAATCCTGTTAATTTTGTGTATCAGTGTTATTTAATAAATATATTTAAATGAATATATTCATATTCATTTAACAAAGAGAGGAAATGTTAATTTTACTGTATTACTTTAGAAATTATATTGTGTTACTTTAGAAATTAATCAGAGGCAGTTATTGAACACGGAGGATTATATTTCAGAAAACATCATAAGATATAACATTGCAATGCCTTCAAATTTAGCTCAAAAATCAGCTGTTTAAAGTGACCACCCCTATGAAAGTTTTTTAGACTCGTCCATTTACAGGTGAATGACACACCTGAGTGACCACTAAACAATGCTTTCAATTTTAGCTCTACAAGTGAGTGGACGTAAGTTTATCGCTCCACGTTTCGCATGTTTTTATAGGCATTGCAGACGTTTAGAATGGCGCAAAGTCAGCTTTTCTCCCCAGATGCCTTAGGGAGAAGAACACCGTCTTCTGATAGACTGCAGGTTTGTGTTTCGGAAAACGAGCAAATTTCTGACGATGCAGAAAGTGATTATGAGCAAACGCCAATTCAGGGCAATAAAGACAAAAACACGCCAATAAGGGGCACAAAAGATACGCCAATACGGGGCACAAGAAATACGCCAATACGGGGCACTAATAATGCTGGTACGCCGATTCAGGGCACTAATGAAGAACCTCACTCTGATGAGGGTTCGGGAAGAGAATGGAGAAACGAACGAGTTAATGCATCCAAAAGTGAAAGTAGAAAGAGAAAGCGTGAGAAGGAGAGCGATAGCGATTCAGAAGAATCAAGTTCAGATGACAGCAGTAGTTCAAATGATTCCGAGTCAGATTCAGATTCAGATATGTTCAGTCCTTCACAGGTTTTGAAGATGAAGGGAGGTGAGAAATTACCAAAGAAAATAACGAAATACATTGAGAAGTATGCTAACAATGGCATTACCAAAGCTACTCGACAAGAAATAACAAAGAACTGTAAAACACCAAACACAAAAAGATTAAAATCAAAAGAAACTGACAGATTCATTAAAAAACTTTTTAGGAAAAGATTCAATCAGGCCATGTCCAACAAAAAAGAGAAAATTATAATAAATAACAAAATCGCATTCTTGATGCTACTGGTCCATTAGCCATACTTTGGCATGAAGCTGAAAAGGTCAGAAAAGCTAATAAAGGCATAGACCCCAATGATGTTATAAATATTGTACAGAGAGCATTAGTGTTGATTGGAAATGCTCATTATGTGTATCTCACAGACAGACGCAAGACTTTATTAGGCAAACTTGTACCAGAGTGTGTTGACCTAATTGAGGACAGTTCTGGAAAGAAAGCATTAAGGAAATCAAAAGATAAACTGTTTGGAAACACATTTAGGAAGCTGTTAGCTAAAGACAGTAAAGATAATAGAGAGATTTCAGATCTTCTTCCACAAAGAAAACGATTCAAGTCTGACAATAAGAACTCTTATTTCTATGATAACAATAACGAGAGAAGGAACTCTTTCAGAAATGGTGCAGGTCGACCCCAGCAGTTTTTTCGGACAGGGCCCTCAAACAACAGATACCAGTTTGGGGGCCACAATTACAGAGGACAACAGAGCCAGAGAGGCAGAGGTTCAGCAAAGTTTCCTCTTTCCAGAAAGACAGAAAATCAGTAGAAATGAAGGTAAGGCCAATCACTTCAGAATTAAAATTTCCTGTTTTGACAGAAAATCTCAAGAATATCCCTGTGGGGGGGAGGTTGAAATATTTCCATCAAAACTGGGAAAATCTGTCAAAAGATTGCTGGGTTCTAGAAACAGTGCTAGGCTTAAAACTAGAATTCTTTCAAAATCCCCCCGTTCAAGTGAATCTTCCTCATTTCAAGGGATTTTCCAAGGAAAAGAATGCATTGGTAAACCAAGAAATTCTCAACATGTTAGAAAAGAGAGCAATTTTACAAGTGGAAGACACATTGGACGGGTTCATAAGCCCCATATTTCTTGTAGAGAAAAAGGGAGGGGGGCAAAGATAAGTAAAGATTAGGCCTTTAAAAAAGGTACATCTGTAAATGAGGTATTAGAAATGGCAGACTGGTCACATGCAGGAACCTTTTATAAATTTTATTGTAGGTCTACATGCTTAGATAAATCAGATGGATTTTCCAAAGCAGTTTTGACTTTAGGTTAGTTGGAGCTTTGAACCTGCAATGTTATATCTTATGATGTTTTCTGAAATATAATTGAAGATTTTATGAGGGCATATTGCCCGAAATGAAATATTGATTATATGAAGAAAACTCATAAGATATAACATTGCACTCACTCCAGTTAGTCGGATGGGTTGTCTCAGGAGATCCATGCAAACAATGCACTTATCACAAGAGACTGAAGATCTCATCTGTAACTCATGGGGAAAGGGCACAACATCTTCTTACAATTCAGCCTGGAAAAAGTGGGTTAGCTGGTGTGTCAGAAGGGAGGTTGATCCATTTTCAGCCCCTATAAGCTTTGTATTAGATTTTTTAAGCTATTTGTATTATGAGGGGTTTCAATATAGAACAATTAATGTTCACAGATCTGCTCTTTCCTCTGTGATGCCTCATGTCAATAATTTGCCCATTGGTCAGCATTCCATGGTAAAACTTCTAATGAGAGGTATTTTAAGAGGAAATCCCCCCTTACCAAGATATAAAGAGACATGGGATGTAGATAAGGTTTTAAATTATTTTATTTCTCTCCCAAGTAATGAAGAACTCTCTCTAAAACTCTTGTCAAAAAAGTTGGCTATGCTTTTAGCTATTGCTGCCCCCAAAAGAGTTTCAGAAATAGCAAGATTAGATAAGGGGTTCATGCAAGTTATACCATCGGGTGTTGAATTTCTTTTGCCAGGGTTGTCAAAGACGCAAAGAGATTGCCGTTCAAAAGAAGTGTTTTATGCACGTTTTCCAGATCACAAAAATCTGTGTGTAGTTGAATGTTTACTTGAGTATTTACACAGAACAAAGACATTTAGAACTCATAATGAGCATTCAGGTGATCCAATATTACGGTCGGTTATTAAGCCACATAAAGGTTTAACAGCTAATACAGTTTCAAATTGGATAAGGGATGTTATGGCCATGGCAGGTATTGATACTGCTAAATTTAAGCCTCATTCAGCTCGTAGTGCATCAACCAGTAAGGCCTTTAAAAAAGGTACATCTGTAAATGAGGTATTAGAAATGGCAGACTGGTCACATGCAGGAACCTTTTATAAATTTTATTGTAGGTCTACATGCTTAGATAAATCAGATGGATTTTCCAAAGCAGTTTTGACTTTAGGTTAGTTGGAGCTTTGAACCTGCAATGTTATATCTTATGATGTTTTCTGAAATATAATTGAAGATTTTATGAGGGCATATTGCCCGAAATGAAATATTGATTATATGAAGAAAACTCATAAGATATAACATTGCAATCCCTCCACAACCCACCCATAATCAGATTTTGACTTTAATTCATGCATTTTTCTTTTACTGAGTTACATTGATATATAATTATAATTCTAATATATTTCAGAGTGAAGAGACCCTGTGAGTCAGAGAGCTGCACAGAAATGTCCTGGAAAAAAATGTTATATTAGTATTGAAATTATTAAAGGATTGAAATAATAATATTGTGTTGTTATAAATCACAATTGCAAAATTGAAAGCATTGTTTAGTGGTCACTCAGGTGTGTCATTCACCTGTAAATGGACGAGTCTAAAAAACTTTCATAGGGGTGGTCACTTTAAACAGCTGATTTTTGAGCTAAATTTGAAGGCATTGCAATGTTATATCTTATGAGTTTTCTTCATATAATCAATATTTCATTTCGGGCAATATGCCCTCATAAAATCTTCAATTTTAATGAACGAAGTGGAATGTTTTACTGAACACAATATTTAATGAAGTAAATGTTTGATAAAAACAGGATACAGATAACAAAAACAGAATAAGCTAGAGGTACTGTGAGCAAGAACTCAAAAATGATACCCCCGCCTCCCATATGAAAACATTGGCAGTATGTTTTGCTATGAGAAACCCAAGATTTGTGTCGGATCAAAAAGTGAAATAGAAGGTACACATTGGCTTTATGTTATAAAGATTCTGTGAAAGTCTCCTCAAATTTCAGTCGGTGGTATAAGAGGAGTTGCGGATAAGAGATGGGTACCAAAAAGCATAGCAAACCGACGGACACCCCGATTACTATAAACCCTCCGCTGTTCAAGCTAGGGGTATAATAAACAACATGAACATTTTCAACAATGGTCACATTCAAATTCCAGAGCCTCTAATGTTTCATCATCCAATAAGGTTAAATCATTATAAGTGACGCGCGTTTTGTGCATCCACCTTGGACATTTTGTGCAGCCAATCCAGTTCTATGGAGCATTGTTTTTCTGCATATGCACAAAACATTTTGCACATTTGGTTAAATATGTCGGCGTTTCACAATTCTAGTATTTTTATAAAATAGCAATTACTTTGGAACTATAAAGCATCAGAATTGTGTATTTTACCAGTCTTACCAGCGTTTATTGTACCGTTCACTGAAAATGAACTCTTTTTCATGCTGAGATACCCTTCTGTTTAACACTGTCAAACTCCTTAGAAAATATAACAACCTATACATTTTTTGCAATTATTAGAAAATTTTAATTATATTAAGTGAAATAAATCAGTTTTACTAATTTGAAGCCATAAAACTTGGAGGATGGCAAAATCTTCCTAAAGAAAATTTGTTTGTATGTTGTTTAACGTCCCTCTCGAGAAATTATCACTCATGTGCAGACGCCATCACTTGCCGCGGGAGAGCTGCAAATTCTGTCCTGTACACGGCACTCAGGGCCATTGAGCAGGGAGGAATCTTTTTTCGTGCCAGCACCTATTGTGACACGGGACCTCAGTTCAAACGATCTGACCATCTCATTCAAAGGACTGTGCTTGAGGTCACACAGTAGGATTCGAACCCGCTACGTAAGGATCAATTCCTTACTTCGCGACTCCAGAGCAGACGCTTTGACCACTGCGCCACGCGGGCGACAGAAACTTTTTACTTCACAAGTAGATACATAAATTTGTGAAGTAACACGCCATTTTCTTCCACCTTTCTGCACACGTGTCTTAATGTCTAGATCAAAACAAAGATTTGCCATTATAACACACTGGTTTGACATTTTTTAAAAATACTCCTAATTAATTCCCGTTTAGGGAATGCTCTCTATCTTTCATTGCACCTGATCCCATCTCTGATGTTTTGGAGGTCTGTGTTTGCTCTGCTCCTATTTTGTATTGTTTTATGGAGTTTTGATTTTGAATACTGTTTGTTATTTCCATATACATGTATTTCATTTTAGTGAAAGTCATTATTGCAGAAACAATATAATGTTTATCAACGAAGGGCAAGTTGGACATCGTTAGCCTCTGGAAAGTTGTTTCTTTCTGTTCATTTTGTCCCAATGTTAAAATCTGAAACCGAAAGTACATTGCAAATGGCGGATTTTATAGGGGTCTTGTCTTAATAAATGTCATACTATCAATAACAGCCTTTCCGAGACCATTTACGTCCAACTTGCCCTTCATTGATAAACATGTATTATTTCTGCAATGATGGTTTTTACCAAAAGTACAGAAATAAACAGGTGCATTAGTTTTTAAATTTGCAAATTTTTAGAGATAAATATCTGTTTTCAAGCGATACTTTCTATATGCTAATCTATGATATATTTATAAACTGTAAAAAGTTTTAACCTTTTGCCTCATATAGTTTTGGAACTATTTTAAAAATAAATCTTGGAACATCTTGACCTTTGGCAAAACCTTATAAGAGTTCCTGCGCCATTATGTTACATTGTGTTTTATGTCGATTGGATTATGAGCGATATTTCTTAAATGTGAAACTGTGTACGAACTGTCTTTTTAGCTCACCTGAGCCGAAGGCTGTTAAATTTACAAGGAGGGTAGGAGAACAGGGCAAAAGTGCACTCCAACTGATGCTTTCAAGCTACTACGATGTGCCAGGGATGCGAATGAAATAAGAACATTTCCCACTGATGATTGGCTTAGTACACAGCTGGTGCAGGAATTGATCTCTAGATCTGCTCAGAAATCTCTGTCACTTTAGACAACAAAAGACATCGAAGAAGCTGATGCTGATCTAGAGGAGATTTTAGAATTAAGCTCTATGTAGCCGTAGCTGCAGATCTGTAGCGTTATAGACAAGTATATAAAACCATAACGCTACAGATCTCCATCCATAGAGAAACTGGAGAAACAATCGAGTCATGACTGAGACTGCGAAACTGTGATGTTTAAGATTTGTGTCTGCAAGAAAGTTTCGGCGGACTATCAGTTTAAATAATCGGTTTTTGAAAGATTTTGGTTTCTCTGGTGGTCCCCAGTGAGCCTACTCTTTTTTGAACTACAGAGAAACGATCTTTTACGTTCGAAGGGGGTAGTCATCCTTGACACCGGGCATCATTGTCGTACCGTCCGACGGACTTAAAGATTTCCTCAAAACTATGTAAACTGTTAAAAATATTGTATAAACAGTTGATAAAATAAATTGATAGTATAACTCAATGCCTGGGGGAATTGAAGCTGTTACCTAAGTTTAATATTTACATGTTTACATGTAATTATGCCTTTTTCGTCAATTTATGCTATTAAACAAGAGGTGTTTATAAAACACTTACCCCCCCCCCCCCCAACCACCAAACAATTGGAATTTTTCCAAAGGATATAACTTTGTCAAAAATAGCTTGGTCTAACCCAAAAAAAACTTAGATATTCTTATGATAAATCTGTTATCTAAATTTTATTTCGTAATATATAACAACCTCTGCAAAGGAAATGACGTGCCCAACAATCTAGACACTGATTCCATGCATTTAAATTATTTCCATTCCATTACGCCCTAGTAATTAAAGATTCGGGGATAGTACGTAGTTTTTGCCCCGTTCGCACATGTACGTCTTTAACTCTGATGCCCCCTCTTCAAAATCATTTTGTAGAGTGGCTTGAAATTCTAATTCCAGAGTCATGCAATTTGTGACACAACAGCCTTGATCATCACTAGCGTCCTGCGCAGATCGTGAGACTGAATGATGTGTTTGAGGGATAATTTCTGGAATTGCTTCCCCGATAAGGAATTATGATACATATACATAATTATACATTCACCTCTCAAGCCTTTTCATATTGAGATACATGTAGTGAATAATCCATCATGACGATTAAAACTTACAAAGTTTCTAAAACATGTCCCAAATGACAGCAAAAGTGAACTTTCTTGAATGTAAGATTTCACATATTAAGTACTTATATTATTACCAAAAATATGTGGGACTTAAACAAATAACTCTAAATGACGCACATATCATAGGCCTTTTAAGTACCGCTAGGGTTCGTTGTTATGAACGATAACTCACTGCTAAAACAGACCCGAGGTATCTAACTGTTTATAGGCAAGTCGTATTTTTGCGTTTCCCATTCGTTTCTTTGCTGTCAGTAGAATCCAGTGGTTTTAAAACTTAGCACCAATGTTAAAATTATTTACTGTATATTTGAGGACACCGTTTAACTACATATATTAAAAAATTTTAATTAAAGAAGGATATGGAGATAACGAACAGTATTCAATCTCAAAGTCCATAAAACAATACAAAATAAGAGCAGAGCAAACACGGACCCCCGAAACATCAGAGGTGGGATCAGGTGCCATGGAGGAGTGAGCATCCCCTGCCGACCGGTCACACCCGCCGTGTGCTCCTTGTCATGATCAGGAAATAACGGAAAAAATCCGTCGTCAATTCAGTGTATAAATATGGACTAACAATTGGTATAAAACCGTCAGTCAGCATTTGACTCAATGATAAATTGTATTTGTTGACAAGGTCATTGTATCGACCATAGAACTTACGAAATGATGACTTTAAACGAGACTGCTGGGGGGGGGGGGGGGGGGTTGAGGTAAACTTTTTCTCAGTGTCAACTACTTTCAGTACCAATTCTAATACTACATTTTCAGTTACACAGCACTAAAAGTGGGGGGGGGGGGCAACCACGCTTTCAATTAACATTTCCTATAGTATAAATAAGGTTGGGAAAAAAGTGGGGGGCCAGGCCCCCCACTGTTGCTACGCGCCTGTGTAAGGAACCCTTTTGTGTGCATACAATACCAATGATGAAGCAGCCTATATGTCATTCCTGTAAACGATAACTCTTAAATCGGCACTTAGTTGGTCATTTTTCACACCTGAGTTACCTGTCCTTAAAACACAACATTGTAAAAGTCAACTATAAATTATTAATTTTTTTAATGATTTAATTAAAAGTATGCATAGGATATTATCTTTTTTTTTTATATTTTCATGTACCTATAATTCTATCTATGCAATGTTTTTTTTCCATACATGTATGTGCAACTTGAAAAATTAGTTGAAAGGCCTATATATCACTGCTTCCAGTTCAATTCAAAGATAAACTGTTGAGTATTATTATCTGTGATGTTTATTATACGAATTAGTGGCAATGAACCATGGATTTTTTTTAATTACTAGCGCTCTCGAGTGCTAGCAACTACGTTAGTCCAAATTCCTTGAATACGCATGCTCGGCTTCACGGTTGTGCATTCTGGGAAAACTGTAAAAACTACTATAGATAGACTGTACGATAACAATTTCGTTGTATCATATGTTGTTGCATTAAATAACTGTCTATTTATTGTGTAGCTTACACTTTAAAGATAACTTCATATTTGTAATACTACAAATTTTCCGTTTTTTTCTGACGGAAAAGCCCGAATCATTATCTGATTGTTCTAAACAAAGACAACGGAGGTTTTTTTTACGTCT